TAAATAATAATAAAATACATGTGCACAATCAAGAGCAATACCCGTTCCTTTTTATCTTCTTTAAATTAATTTTTTTAGTTTAACTTGCAATGTTTGCTGAAGTTGCTAGAGAAGGGTAGCGGACTGTGGTCGACCGGGAGCTCTCGGGAATGCCGGAGGTGATTTCTTTAGCTCGGAAGTTGTCCAGATTTACCGAGAAGCTTCCGCAATCATCTCTTTCCTGTTATCCCAGGTCCCTGTGGGGGAATGGAGAGACGCATGGCGATGAGAGAGGTGCGGTGATCCATGGAAGGACCAGGATGCTTTCACCATCTACTGTACGACTTTTACTCCCTTATCTACAACCCGTTTGGCACAAACCCCGGGCAAGTGAACGAAATCTATGGTCATGACCCTCCTCCAGTTCATACCAGCCATGTCCCATTCCACTTCGCAACAAATGCCTATGCAGCTCATCCTTCCCGAGATCCTCTAAATATTTCTCAATACGACGGACCAAAGGTCTCAAACACACTTGAGGCTTCAACAGGTGATGTTCATTGGCAGGAATATTAGTTTCCATAGCTGCTCTGGTGTCCCAAGTTAGGGGATGTGGTTGCTGCCAAGTCATGTACTGTACTATGATGCTGAAGTAAGCCACCTGGAAAAGCGAACCCGAGCAGGGGGGGAAGTTTATATGGAATATAATCCACCTATATCCAAGAGACCGCATCACAATCCCACTCAAATTCCCTGTACTCCATGCTGGCAACCCGCAAAGGGGGGCAACAGATAGGTAGGGGCAACAAATAGCGCTACCAAACCTGTCCTTTACCACAGAGCCCGGTGGATCGCTCACCATTCCCTTTGCTCTTAGCCGCTTTCTACTATGCCACCTCATGGACCGTGTACTAATACCCCCGGGGGGTCATTAACAGTAGGAATCCAGTCAGTGGAAGTGAAGGGAATCTTTAATTAGAATATCAAGTCTTTCTAGAAAAAAATAATAAGGTTACAGAAGTCTAGAAAGCCCTGTTGGATTTCTTGGAAGCCACATCTAAGTCAGTATTGAGGGTTTTAGAGATGATTCTCATTATTTCAATAGGCTCGTATGAACTTGAGCTATTCACGGTTAATATTTACGTAATTCATTCGGCCCCCTCATGTTATCCTTGGGAAATAATACTAAGAAACCTAGACTAACGATCCCGAGAGATAATTAGAACCAAACATCAATAAGGCCAAGACATCTAAAGTAGGAGTTCCCCGGGGAGGCCAAAATGCAGTATTATTTCTACACTATCTACTCCTAGGTAGTGCCTTCTTCCCTCCTTTGGTATGGCTGCCCTAACAGCAACTCCAGCATCCCGTTCAGTCAACTAATTTTATACCGCCACTCAGCCAGGGAGATATTTCCGAGAACACCATAAGAATCAGAAAACAACCCTCCCAGGCCCAATGGGCGAAACCCTGTGAGGGTTCAGAGCTGTAGGAGATCCTATACGGCTCAGCGGGGTATCCGGTTCCGCATCACCAGGAATAGGGGATAGCGCGGCTGCACTCGATTTCAGGGTAAAAGTCAAACAGTCCACAGCTGCGGCTAAAGAGGAATTCGAAAAGTCCTCATACCCCCACACCCATAGACAGCCCGGGACACCTCTCTAGTCCATATGGTCAAGCTTTAGGAAGCTCCCGAGACACACCCTAGCACAGAGCCTGGGAGGGGTGTGAATAGTTATTGCCGCAAGCCTCCATCTGGTAGTCGTTGCCAGGCCTCCCCCCAGATTCCCGAGGACGACCGATATCCGACACCAGAATCTTGTGTATACAAACACGACTACTCAATTCTTTAAATAGACCCACAAAGCAGTGAATGGCGTCATGCTCCCAAAAAGTATTATATCTTATGTCCTCTTCCCCCCCTGTATGACCCACACAACCCACAACAGAATTTAGCGCACGCCCGAGCTCACCCAAGCTATCTGCTTTACCATTACCGACCGCAGCACCCCGATGCCATTCCCGGAAATGGGAGAAACCTGCAAAGTTGCGAAACCGGAACTATGATAGCTAGTTATCCTTCATTTAGGTTTTGAATAACCGTCCAGCTCAAGGACATATTCTCATATACAAAGCCAAGCGCCAATGCATGATGTAAGTGAGGCTTCATTATCAAGTGTCATACTCCGCCACTCCATATTCTGTGGAATCTTCCAACTCTACTTGCATACACAGTAGTCAAACTTGAAACATCCTAAAGTGCCCCGATTTCATAGCCCATATGTTTCACCTTGAAATTCCCTCGTGGATATTTAACAATCCTAAAACGGTGGCTCTCAAACCGCCACCCCGCTCATACGCACACGCACACAAACACAAACACACACACATACAACCCCAAACAGCCCCATCCTCTTCCGAAATGTGCCGCCACATAACCCTCCACTTCAATTGCAACCACTACAAAATAGTCCTATGCCCCTCGGAAAAATCTTGCTACCTCCACGACAAGCGCCTCATAATCGAATCAGACTTCATGCCCCTGCACAACATTGCTTTCTCACTAGTGCTGATAAACTCAATCTGTAGATGGTGTATGCAGAGCCAGGATACCACCGTCGAAGAAGTCGACGGGGTAGCTCTTCCAGGGGATTGCGTAACAAACATCTTGAGAACAATCCCGGAGGAGGACATCCCAGTGGATGTGATGGATGTGATAGATGTAAGCTTTACTGCAAGGGTGAGTGATCACTCTGAGGCTTCCTTCGCCGATCCGCCATTGGATATCCAAGGCGGTGAGAATATATGCCTTGCACTTACATCTGCACGTGAGGGTAGGAGGAAGGAGTGGTGGGTGACGCACGACGAGATGGATATTGATGAGACCTGGACTGTTAGTCCGCCGATTGTGGAGGAGAGAGAGGTGATTGAGTGGTGGGTCGGGGAAGAGGATGTGCAAGACTCCGAGGCCGTTTCCGGTGGAAATGCTTCGATGAGTCGAAATTTTTGAATATGATATTTCATTTAAGTCAGTTTGGTTCGGCGGTTCGAGATTGAGTGTATTTTGAAAGTTATTCTGAGAATAAATTTGTGGTTTTTTGAAACCTAGAGATTGTGACTGTCGTGTGGTAAACTACCACTCAAAATATTGGAGCCAGAAATGTGATACAGTAATATATTTCCCCTCCTGCTGGGAATGCCCTTCACTCAGCCAAAGCGGATACTCTGCACTTCTAAAGGGGATACCCCTTTGGCTAGGTGGGTTGCGTTCCGAGCAGGGCGTCCCCCCGGAGAGGTAAAAAAATAGCTTATCCCAAACAGCAGGTAAAATGATTATATAATTCCTAAAAGTTTAACTGTTCTAATCATCGCCTAAGCCAATGTTTTGGATGCGTATTGAAAGAAGGGTATCCGATCTGGAAGGGGAAACTAACAGGCAAACTTCACCCGGCCGCAGGAAAATAGGCAGCTAACTCCCTAGCACGCACGAGAGCTTTCTTGAAAAGGTCCGCGCAGGTCCAAAGATAAATAAACAAAAGAAAAAAAAGAAAGGAATCAATTAACATCGTGGTCATATTGTGCAAAGGGTTCGCCGTTGGGTTTGTCGATTCCGTTCTCCCCCCGCGGAACCGCTCAAAGACGCCTATACCAACCCAGGTGGAGAGGAGAAAAATAGGCCCCTCATTTAAACCCTACAGGTTTCGTACCCATAAATACTTCTATAGACCGTCACTGCAATACCCTCTCTAAACTAACGAAACCTAACTAGCCTTACAACACGCAAAGCAGGGTATGCACAAAAAGAACTAACCCCAATTCCATCCCCACGGTACCACCTTATCTTTGCTGATTGGTCCATTAGATCTTCGCACGCTCACCTCTCTTTTCTCCATCACCCCAATGCCTTTCACCTGCATTCTCACACCAGACTGGCAGTCAACAGCACTTGTGTCAGCTGCACACTTGTGCCTGGTTTCTCAAGAACTTTCTTCCTATTTTTAATCCACCGCCCCCAATGCCAGCAACGGGTCTCCGACGGGGTAGCAAACATTGTATGCCACCCTACAAATATCCGAAGATTGAAAAATTAGCCGCGGCCGCAAACGTTTCTCTAGTTGCTTTTTTCTTCAATCGAGCAGTCTCCAGGTACGAATTTTTTGGTGACATCAAGTATCACTCGCCTTTTGACCTCCGACTAGGATGAGCCGAAATTCCCTTCTTCCGTGGGACACCCTATCCCCTATCCGGAAAGCAGGCTACCCGGCTAAGGGGATATCCCTTTAGCCAAGTGAAAAGGTTTTCAAGTGAAATGGAACATATGTAATATAATATCTCAAATTTCCTTCAGGGCAACATGGGAATTACGTATCTAAACAGAACGATACAGTATTGGAAAGATCGAACTGTCTCCAGCCCGTACCCTATATAAAATTTTGCAGTGATAAGATAAGATCTACAGGCTACTCAAACCCCTTCACCCCAGGCACATACCCTCTCTATTGAAATACATTAATATTATCCACCCTCAGTACTTGCTCAAACCTGACATAAGACAACTACACATCCTCTACCACGCAAAGCCACCTTCCCATCATAACTACAATTATTTATTTGTTTCTATTTTCTACCAAACAACTATTCCAGGTAAACCCCAGTACACCCTAAGCCTCCTATCTATACAATCCCTCCACCACTAACACTACTCCAGACTTCATGATGTGTCGCATGATCACGCTCCATTTCGGCTGCCTCCACATCCGCGAACACACCTGTCCCTCCAGTCAGGCGTGCAACACCCTCGACCTAGGCTCTCCCGAGGCCATCAGCCACGAGACCGTTTACCGCTTCGTTCGCATCAATTCCGAGTGCTGGGATTGCGCTGGCAACAGGGCTAAAAGGCTTAAAACCAATCCGTATGACTTGTTCGGGACCGGCTGTGGCGAGGAACAGGACGGTGAAAACGACTCTGAGGCTATGGCTATTGTGAGTTGCTTTTTTTTTTCTCCTCTAATACCGAGGGCTGACCTGTTGATGGTTTGCAATGGTAGGATGGATAGTTGCAGTGGTCCGCTAACAGCACTGGCTCAACCCCCCGTTTAAAGTATGATCGGACATCGGATTGTGGGATTATTTCAAGTTTATGGTGGATTCTATCAGGGTACTCTGGGCTGCTCGGAGTTCTAAACAACAATGCTGTTAGCACTTGGGACGGTTTTGTTTTGTTCTGGTGAAATGATCTTGTGAAAATGTTATGTAAAGACTTTGATTCCTCATCCCGATGTGGCGGATACCTCATTGGGCAGCACGCCGCTGGCATTACACTAGCCCCCGAATATCTTGCCGGGTGCACTTATCCTTGTATCTTGCTTATCGATAACACCCTAATCCTGTAACCACCAAGAGAAACATCTCCTGTACCTTATCCTAAATGGGACGAATCCACACCTAATAGAATGGGTGATACCTGTCGCCCAGTTTTGATGGCAGAGGACCTGAAACTAGCAGAATAAATCAAGCCCTATAACAGCCAAACAGCGCAGACATATCACCTACAGCAGCTCCTATATAATCATACAAACATGGATAAAAAGGAAAATACACATTAACTGTGGATGTAGAAAGTCCTATGCAAATACAACCTAATACCCGAGACCGAGAGGTCCACTCACAAAGCACAAATCATGTACTGCAGCCCCTCCATGCATGAATCCAAATAACCCATGCGACGGGAAGTTAGAAAAAACGCTCGTACAACCGTCTCGGGGTACTCGACCATTGACAAAGTATCCAGACACGAGGATGCCAAGAGCTAGTGTTTCACAACCAAATCTGAGGACCCCTGTCCCTTCATCTCCAGACACCCCACAAATTAAGGAGGACCCTAGCCAAATTTTTAAAAAGGCCAAACGATGTCAACCAGAGAAATGTTTCTTAACTATTCGATTATATAAGCTAAGGCTTCTATGAAGTGCCGGGCTCATGACAGCATAACCGCTTGGTCAATTTATAATACTCAAGGGGTCCCCATTGATATTCCGGAAGGCGGTATTTGGAATCTGGTCCACTTTTACTTCAACATCTCTATTATCACTCGCGACCAAACCTACGCGGGAGTAACCAGCAAAAAGCACACTTAAAAAGAGCACCACATGGCGAAGGACAATCTCAGAAATGCGCTACTTAGCCTTCCAAAAAAAACTCATGCACGGCCTCCATGACGAATCCTTCCTGCCCATCCTCTCCGGACCACGTCCCAAATATCACCCTAAAACCCCCCCTGCAAATCCACCCACCCACGTGCTCACTAAAAAAGGGACGTGCTGGATGTGCCCAGCACCACCAGCTGAACTAAGACAACCCTCAGAGGTTTCGGCCCCACGGTTAAGGGATCCCACGCAGTGGAGATCTTTCTTGATGCGGTTATAGGCCTCCAGAGCCGTATCGCGATGCTATCGCCCTTGATACATTATCGGGTACTTCGCCACCTGTGAGGCTGGAGGATTGGGTCCCGGCACAGGCTTGATTTGGGTTTCTAGTAATATTATTTCTGTTTTTACCCCCACATTCTTCACCCCCTCCCGTCTAGCTCCTCATTAATCTTCCTATCTAGCCCTCTTTCCCCCCTTTTCTCTTACCTGAATCCTTTCCCTCTGGGGGTGCGATGGTGGCCCATGTATTGGAGATTGCCCCACTTGTCTGGACAGATGCTTGTGGTCACCCACTATCACTCGAGGGCCGGGGCTGAGCGCCGAGAGACGAGAGTTTCTGAAGACCTCACTTGAATAAACAAAGGATCAGCCTACACATACATATACCAGGCTATCGTGGTAAAATTGCCCATCCAACCGGGCCACCGATATACTTGTACAGCCTTCAACTTGGGCATGACAAAAAACGTTGGCGAAACATGGCCACTGTATTTGTCTGGCAAAAAAGTGAATTTGTCAAAGCAGGGTAACAAAAAAAGATACCTATTACCGATCCCTGTCTGTCATCCGCTCTTTTCGTCGAGCCCCTCGGTTGAAGACTACCGTATGCTGCAACGTTACTCGAGTACCGTACCAGTGCTGGTATGATACTGTACCTGTACCCATATCCTCGCATCCCCAGTCACTGCGCGTGGAAATAGGAGTGCGCCCATCCCCACCGAAGGCCGAGCAACACCTCTGCTGCGCGCTGTCCGCACCGTTCAGACATAATACGCTCACCCGCAGCACCGGGCAGTGCACTTCCCATTACGAATTCCGCGATAAGTTACCCTTTTCTTACCAACCCCCGCAGCAACCCCAATACCCGCTACTATAATTATCCCAAGCACTACTGTCAACAGCGGTACCGTGACATCTCTCAGCCTTGCGTTTTATTAGCGGATGTCGGTACACACGAAAAAAAAAAAATTTACCCGACAGTTTCGACACTTTTCTGGTCTGGCCCGAACAGCGCATTATTCGAGTACAGATAGGGCTTGCACTTCTTGTCTGACATCCAGCCAGGATGGGCCACATGGTCTGTGCATGAGGCCGAGTCAAACTACCATACAGTACTCGTACGGAATTCATGCGGACGGTACGCGAGACACTCGAGAGCGTGACAATGGAGGGGTCGATGCGGGGGGACTCGGACTGCACTTTATTGCTCTGCATCAGAGTTCAAAACAGATGAATCCGACGGACGAGTGGTTTCAAGTGGATGGCTAGGTTAGGCTACGGTACTCTACGGTACTCGAGTGCATCTTCATAAGGGTGGCGGGTCAAGGTCCCCGTTGTCACGATAGGTTACATAATCTGGAGATCCAACCCAGTATCCAGCCTACGGGGTGTCAGGGTAACTTACTGTACTCGAGTACCAGTATTCTTGCGTCGACAGCAAACCAATCCACCCCACGATAAAATTTACTGTTGTTTCCTATGATGCTAGAGCCGCCACAGATGTCGGTATCCCAACCAAAGAACACAGCCATTTTCCTGATATCACACTACCATCCTGCCAGAAGCCGTGGAAGTGAAGTGAAGGTACTGTAACCACCGCCCCCCCCAGTACCCCCACATCCCGATTTTTCCGATTAAATGTTTAGAACCACGACAAATCCAATATTCGCGAGCCAGCCACTCTGTGGCAACGGGGACTGGACCCCTCCCTCATCGCCTCTGGTAAACTTGGTCTCGCAATTTACCTATCGAGGCAGTGCACCATCCGGCCATCCACCCGAACTCCAAACCAAACCCGATCGAATCAAGGTGATGCCCAACAGGGCAACGCCAAGGCCAATACGCAATCAAGAATTTCTACCCAAGAAAAGCAACAAACTGCCAAGACAGCGTCATGGACACAACCACTTGTACGCGTCACCCAACCCCAGTATTCGAAGGGCACAAACCTGCGCATTGCAATTTGCGATCTTCACGATGGCGCTGCCAACCGACAAGGATATGGTCTCCAGAGCCCTGGGACCAGTTGGTCACCGGGTGGTGATGGGGATATCATAATATATACCATGGATCCAACTTCCTGCTTCCCTCTCCTCCATTCTAATCGGCACCGCCATTTCTATTCACCAAGCAGTACGGTACTTGACTGACTGCCGAGGCTTATCCGAGCAGCAACACTCAACACAACAATCGACATGCGTTTCTCAGCGATCGTTCCGATAGCTCTGTCTATTGCGGCCTTCATACTTGCTCTGCTTGTGCTGTTTGCCGGTAGGGATAATGGGTTCCTGGGCGACACTTATATCACTAAGGTAGCTTGCGCTCCATCTCCTCCCGACGCGCACATGTATTCACGAGAGACATCAGATTGATACTTCAAACCTCGGAGGCGAAGGCACCTCCCTCAATTCTTCGAGCACCGGCATCAGCGCACTCGACAACATCCTCAACTCGGCCTCCCGGGACATCATTAATAGCACCGCTTCTCGCCTCGGCCTGCACGATTTCTACAAGGTCTTTGTTATGAACTACTGCGAAGGCGAGCGCGATTCCAATGAAAATGAGAAGACCACAAACTGCACAAAGCAGAAGGGGATGTTCACCTTCGATCCCGTCGGCGTTTTCGAGGAGGAGCTACTGCAAGGTGTGACGTTACAGGACTTGGGTGTCGATACTCAGGACCTCGACACCGCTGTCAACGTCTTGAAGGTTGCGTACAGGACCATGTTTGTCACGTACTGCATTGGAATCGCCACTGCCGGTGTCGCTATTATTCTCGGATTCCTAGGATTCTATGAGAGCAGGCTTTCCGCATGCGCTAATTGGTTGTTCGCCGTGGTGAGTTTTCTCCCTCTTCTTTCACGCTTGAAACCGTTATTGATTGATCCTCCGTTTCAGATATCCTTCCTATTCCTCGGCGTCGCATCTGGCATCGGTACCACCGTTGGTGTTAAAATTCGCGACGCGATAAACCGTGAGATGGGAGAAATCGGTGTCCGAGCCTATATTTCGAACAGGTACCTCGGTATGACATGGGCCGCTGTTATCTGCATGCTTATCGTCACATTTTTCTGGTGCGGCGCCTGCTTCTCCAGGAGAAAGTACAGAAACCACAGTAAGGATCTCAATGAGGGCCAAGCTGCCGGGTCGGGGCCCGTTGGCGGAAAGAGGCCCTGGAGGAGATGGAGACCTTAGAGAGGGATAAGACAGTGCTGGGTAGCGTATGATATGATGGATAACGAATGTTTCCCCCAATAATGTATTTGTACAAGTTTTCCGGGAGCAGGACTGTTTTGCTTTATCGCGCTTCCTTCCCCTTCATCCGAATAATCCTATTAAACGAGTCCCCTTTGTTTGTTTTTTCTCTTCCTCACTTCAAGATACCGGTACCTTATTACCATCCTTGCCGTCATCATATCTCTTCTCCTTCCTGTTGGCAGATCTTACCGCGCTTAACCGAAATCAGCGCACTGTTACTCGTACCATACAAAGCCGACGAAGGTTTCACCGTTGACCAAGATTTTCCTCCACAAATTTTAATTGGGTCGCGAATTGCCTTTCTGCCCGAAATCCGATTCGCTTCCTAACCCTCTTGATCCCGGAGTTGGAAGCCATAGTGTGGGGATAGGGCTAAGGGCTTAGGGTTTCGAGTGATATGTTGTGGAGTAACCCTAATCCTGAGTTAGCAAGCCCCGTGACTTGTCGTGCAGTGCTTTATGTGTGCACCGTATTACAAAATCTTTTTTCTCATCTTCAGAGTTCACATGGATCTGCAGGTTCCCGGTTTAGAAGTTAAGATAGGATTTTTGGAGGATTGCACTTCGGTGAACGTTTTTTTTTTTTGGCCCGGTGTTAACGCTAAATTTTATTGTTTATTTTTTATTTCGGCGGCGGGGGACCGGTTGAAGATGGTGTGGAGAATACTGGGAGGGTTTCTAGAATCCGGAAGGGTGGAAGTTCGCTTATGCTGTTGGGGGTGGAGCTGCATAGACGCCAGGTTACCGGTTCGGTAAGGTGTTTCAGGATCCAGGTACATTTGCTCGCTGATGAGATTGTAAATGTTGTGGAATGTGCGGTACTCGAGTACAGCACATAACGGACGTGAGAGCGGAATGGGGGGTGATGATGATATGATATCCGTAGTGGTTCTCGGCCCTGTTGGACGCTATGGAAGGTGGATAAGCTGTCTCCTCCTCCTTCCTTCTCACTTGGCCTTCCCCCCCCATACGTCACTCTGTCAGCTTCGCTGGGCGAGAGATTATTCGTGCTGTAAGGGGGCTGGATGAGCGTTTGCGGCTCTTGGCGATTCAATCTCTTTCCCGCCCCAAAATAGGAAATGAGCACAGCCCCAAAACACTCTTCTTGCGGGCTGGAGGGGTGGAAAGGGGACCTTACCCATTCGAGGCCTACATGTGTAAGGTTTTTAACATGTACGAGTACCGGTGCCTCTGTTCCACACACTTTCCCGTTCTTAGAATTAGTGAACAAACCCCCTGGATTTTCTCCTCCACTCCTTTCACTCATTCTGCCCTTCTCTCTTCTCCCTCCCCCATCCAACGCCCAGCCCAAGCCCAGCCCGGCCCATTATTTCCTTCCTTCATCGTGAAGTAACTCTAAGTTACTTGTCTCTCTCTCTGTCCCTCTTCCTGTTCGAGTCGCTCCTTTCCCCCCCTCCCCTTTCCCTTTTCCCCCTCCCCCTCGTTTTACTTCTGCGGTAAAAGAACTATTATTGCCCGCCTGCATATTACCTTATACAATACTATTCGGAGTGCATCTCTTTTTTCACTTTCTTCCCTCTCTCTCCTGCTCGTTGGTCCTGGTAGAAAGTTGTAACTATATTGCTCTACTCTTTACTACTGTACCTGCCACCGCTTACTGCTGCACATACCAACACAAAGAATACGACAAACAAACAAACTATCCCCCCAACTTTATACTTATGCGGTGCTGAACTGAACGCCTGGTGCACGTTTCAATTTTTTCTTCTTCCTCTAGTCCCTTCCTCGGCCCTTGACTAGATCCATCGCTCGCTTCGAATCTCTCTCTAGCCTTTCTCTCTCTTCCCGGTCGCTCGTTTTTAAAACTTGTTGCTCGGAGTTTCCTCGGGATACGGTACCGGTGACTTTCTCTTATCGGTGGCCCCATCTTTAATCTCCTGCCCGAGCTGCTCCTCCGCTATATACATACAAGATGAAGTTCTCATCTTCGCCACGACTGCTAGCTTCTTCGCTATTGTTTGCCAGCCTTGGGTCATCTATTGTCGTTGATCTGAACAGTGATTGTTGGTCCATCCCTTTGTACTCCGGGTACCCCCTTTATCCCCCCTACACGCCCAGACTGACCTCGGCAACGCTACAGCTTCCATCAAATCGGCTGCGAAGACTGTTGCCGAAAACCTCCGTGCCCTATATCCGTCCAACGAGACGTGGTTCGTACCCGGCGAGTTTGGCCTGATTCAGACGGCGGATGGAAAGAATGACAAGGGATACTACTGGTGGGAGGCAGGCGCCGCGATGGGGGTGAGTGCATTTTCCTTGTGATGCGATGCAACCGCGACCGTAACCAACAGCGGGTTGATCAACAGAACGGGGACTGACGCAAACAAACAAACAAACAAACAGGCTTGGATTGAGTACTGGCATTTTACTGGTGACAGTCAATTCAATGACATTGTGACAGAGGCCATGTTGCACCAGGTTGGTGAAAATTCAAACTACGAGCCACAGGCACACACCCTTTCACTCGGTAACGACGACCAAGCGTTTTGGGGTATTGCTGCCATGACAGCGGCCGAACGTGCATTCCCTAACCCTCCACAGGACAAGCCCCAGTGGCTTGCCCTCGCTCAGGCCGTTTTCAACCGACAGGCGTCTCGATGGGATACTCAGCATTGCAATGGCGGTCTGAGATGGCAGGTTGTGTCAACCAACAAGGGATACGATTACAAGAATGCCATTTCCAACGGTCTCTTCTTCCACATGGGCGCTCGACTGGCGAGATATACTGGGAATCAGTCCTATGCTGATTGGGCCGAGAAGGCGTATGATTGGTCCAAAGAGATTGGTTTGGTCAGCCCTGAATATAAGGTTTTCGATGGTGCTCATATCCCGGAGTGCAACATTTCCAGTGTTTATCAGTGGACTTATAATGCTGGCGTCTATCTCTCCGGTGCTGCTTACATGTATAACTTTGTATGCATCCTCGTCTCTCGCTCTACGGCTCGTTTACTGACCGCCACGACCCTTTTAGACCAATGGAACCAATCAGAAATGGAAAAATGAAATTCAGAAGCTCATGGATGCTACTTCAGAGCCCTTCTTCTCAAAGGAGCCAGCGAATATCATGCAAGAGTCTACTTGTGAATTCGGATACACCGGAAACGATCCTACCTGTAACACCGATCAACGTTCTTTCAAGGCCTATTTCGCTCGTTTCCTTGGATACACTTACCAGATGGCCCCGTTCACCGCTGATTTCATTATTCCTCGCCTGAAGGCTACCGCGACCGCTGCAGCTGCATCCTGCAATGGTGGATCTAGTGGCACGATTTGCGGTCTCTCCTGGATCAAGTCGACGTACGATGGTGCTGCATATGGTATATCAAAGGGGGGTGTGGGGGAGCACATGGCGGTCCTGGAAGTTCTTCAGAACAATCTGGTACCAAAATCGAAGCCCCCAGTCACCGCCAACAATGGAGGAACAAGTGTGGGTAATTCCGCCGCTGGGGGAGATGGTGCCGATCCCAACGAGCTCTTACAGACCGATCCGAGTACAACTGGAGATAAGGCGGGAGCAGGGATTTTGACTGCGATTGTGTTGGGCTTAATGTTGAGTTTGACGTACTGGCTTGTCAAGTCTTGAAAAGATAGGAAAAAAGGTTGTATAGGGTTGTCAAAGGGTGGTTATGGGTCCTTTTTTTTTGTTCCTTCACGCGTTTTTTTTCATACTCTTGGGATGGTTAGGGTCGGCGGGGAAATTGTTGGGTGTCAGCTAGAGCGGATAGTAGCCAGATGTCTAGGGAATGGGGGGGTGAAGGGATGCGAGTGAGAACAGAGGATGGGAAGAGTCTACTCGATAATACCCTTGTTTTTTTTGTTTATTCTTGAACCCGCTGTGCCTGGAATTATAGCTGCTACTACACGAATCATTTTTTTGTCATTTGGGGTGTCTATATATTTTCTTTTTCTTCTCATTTACAGCTTTTTTATCCCCAAAATTACTGTGTATGTTTTTTTTGTTTTTCTTCCGTTCATCATTCTTCATTTTGTTTCTCTTCGTTGTCCCTCTCTCCCTTTTCCGTGATCTTTCTTGTAATGTTTGGTTCGAACCGGTAAAGCTTCTCAGTCGGTCATTCAGTTAGTAAGATTGTGTAGTGCGGTGGAAGAAACCGATCGAGGATGATGCGATAAGGTATTTGCTAACGCGGGTGTGGTGGACGCGATACTGCCAATGCGGAGTCTTATTTCCTGCGGGTGGCGCGTGGGATGTATGATATCATACCTGCATTGTTCCCGTCTGCCTCGTGGTGTGGTTATCGATAGGAGATGGCGGATAGGGAAGGTGATTGGAGTGCGGGGCTGCTGTGGTCTGGTGCATGGTATATCACTCGGTTAGGAGCCCGGTGGGGGCGCCCCGGGAGTTGGATGAGGGAAAGTGTAGTGTACAAGTATCAGCGCTTTTTGTTAAAGGACTTAATTGACAACTATACTGAGTGTTGTATGGTGACGCTAGAAGACTATGGGGGTGTTGCCGGTGTGTATGATGACGTGTGGATACACGCCTGATAGCTTTCTAGCTCTAAAGAGGGGGTCGTTTTGGTATCCTGTTAGGGTGGGTTCTGAGTTTTGGTGTGATCGTGGTCGGTAGGTATCATGGGCACCTGGTGTTAAGTAATGATCGAGTTGGGAGCTGCTAGAGCGATGGGGCGTAGGGGAATGGGGATGCTTGGGTGTGTGGGTCGGAGGGGCCCAGAGTGTAATGTGGTAGTTTAGTGTGGATGGGGGGATTCTCGACTTTACGGTAACGTATTGCACCGGACGGGGAAGCGAGCCAGCTATAATACTACATCATACATAAAAGGCACCAGAGGAGTATGATAGGGGGTCCGGAGACCCCGTTTATCCACATCCACCAGTGGATAGTGGGAGGTTTGCCCTCTCTATTAGCTGAATTCGCAGTCTTCGGTTTTGGCGGAAATCCTACTGTGGGGCTGTTTGACCCGATTCCCCATACAATACCTCGTCTCTTGCTTTTGTCGTGCCTGACGGTTTGGGGTGGAAGGGAGGTGTCATAGGTAGGTAGGTGGTGGAGGCTATCACTCCCCCGAGCGCTATTCCAAAACCAGTGATCATTAGTGGGCAGGCTGTAGTATATCCCAGCGCAGGAGGGTGTTTTCGTGGTTTTTTTGAGCCCTATGTTTTCCCCGCCCGCCAGCTGGGTATCGTATCATAAATCCGTTTCTTTCTACCTTCATACTCAAGAACCCGTTCCGGGGGAACCGCAGTCACTTTAATGAAAATTTGAGCTTTCCGCTGACGACCCAATTTAAACACATAAACGAGATTACTCGAAGTGATTTAGAGAAAGTATACCCCCCGCCCCCTCGCTTGCCGCCGCGCTATGAGACAAACAAACAAGCTGATAGGTGGGCAATAGACAGTATCTCTTCATCAACTATGGCAGCTCGGCCCAGTCGCATACCACTCCCGACTTTGTGCACCTGCAAAGGCCGGGAACAACCGCGATACCTCCATAAACAAAACACCAACCACGGCGCTCCAAACCTCCCTCCGGAGTCCTGGGAAATCTACATCCAGTCCCGCCAAACCGCCCGCCAGGACCGACTCTGGCAGAATGAGGAGCAAGAGAGACTCCGCGCTTTTAGGGCCGCGTGTGCAGAGCACGAGTCAATGGTCATTCAGTTCCTCTTCGAGAATGACAGCGATGGGCACGGGGCGGTGAATAAGTGTTTCTCTAGCGATGGAGATGTGGACTATACCTCTGGGGCATTTCGTCGTGGGGCGGTTGAGGATAAGGGTGAAGGAGGGGGAGGAGTAGGGAGGGCTAGTGGGTGGTCGCCGAGGCTCATGGACGACGTTTATCCTACACGGGTACCGATGTGGAAGAGGAGAGAGCGGAAGGCTTCACCGCTGGTGCCTCCTCCGCCCGGAAAGTCCTGTGAAGAGCAGGGGGAGTCTATAGAAGTGATGCTGGAGCGCTGCCGTGGAGTAGGGAGGTGCAGAAAGAGACTGGCCCAGCAGGAGCTCCTTGGAGACCGGAGGAGGGAGTTTCTATCTGAGGAGATTAGTCTGTTTGAGAGGGTGGTTGTTGAGGGGAAGATGGTGAAGGAGGGGTTTCCGGTGCATAGGGACCTGGAGTGATGTGTTGATGGAGTGATGTACTGTACTCTGTTCTAGGCGTCTGGGAGGGTTATGGATAACTTGGGTAGGTTTCGGGGAAGGTGGTGCTGGATGATTCCTTACTGTCTGTTTGTCGGTCCACCGGGAGAAATATACCTTTTTCTTTGAGATTTACCCTTCTGCTTTAGTTGCTATTAGTGGGGGTAGTAGTCTGCTTTGTGAAATTTGCACTTTGGATCGGTTGGGATATAGGTTAGAGGGTGTTGCGCTTCATGGTTTTGCATAAGTATGATAGCATGCCCCGGCCCGTTTCTGCAAGACTCGATTTGTGGTAACGATATTATCACGTTATCATACCAACGGAGTCCCATCAGCGATGGGATAGTAATTCTGTAACCTTGTAAATTCTTCTCACATATCTCTCACTGGGCGCGAAATGCCCTACTGTTGGCTGGCCTACCAGTCGCCCGTGCTCTCGCACCGATTTTTCAAACCTTATCTCTACACAGCGATGGGAGCGGTAAACGCTATTGCTAATTATGGTATGGTATCCATATCCCCCATTTGGTCCAGCAGAGTTACCCGCACCCCCTCCAAAGAACCGACCCCCTCGCACAGTTTAGTGCCCAATCACACACAACCAAAGTCACAGATTCACATAATTTATTATCCACCATAGAACATCTGAACTATGCTAATACCGACCATCCTCACCTCTCTCTAGTTACCCCCAGCCAAGCCCCCCCAAAATCCTGAAAGAATTCCAAAGCATGCTGAACCAGACCGGGGCACACACGCTCCTTGACCATCTCTCGAGCCGTGGAACTGGGGATTCCGGGGGGTTATTTTGTATACCCCCTCCCTACTTTCCTTTCCTCCCTCTCTGCCCCTAGTACAGCACGGGATCGCTAGATCACAACTACTCCTAAAGCCTAGGCTTGCGGAGTGTTCGTATGGTAGGTGGTAAACCACAGAGTGTATCTTGCGGAAAAAAACTGGCGGTTGGCAGTGTTTATCCAAGATTAATGGCCGTTCCCACCCCGAGGATCTCGAGATGGAGCTTACCCGTCCCTTATTAACAAACCCCCCCCCCCACCAACGACGAAGTGCGGTTCTGCATGTGTGGGATGGCCGAGATGCTGACGACGTCCGGGGAAATATGCCCTTCCCGAAAGATATAAATCGGGGAGTTCACTTAATCTCCCCGGTCAGTTAGGCGGGAGTATCTTCTAGGCGTTATATACCGGATTTTTTTTTCTTTTTCTTTCTCTTCTGGAGAGTTCCGGTTGGTCTCCTAAATGGTGATGTACGGATAATTGGGGGTGGTACGACTCTTATATATATATTGAGAGGTGGATTGGGTCCTTCTATGTCTGGCTGACTGGATGTTGGAGATCATGTCGGGTTTTTATGTCAAGCGCCAATGTGCACATTGTTTGGTAGAGTTGTAGTTTCAATTTCAATCTTCGATATTAAATCATATAACCTTGGGAATTCCCCCTGCGGTTTCCGACGTCTGGATATCTTGGAAAAAAAAAAAACAGGCCTTTTCTTGTTGGTTTGGTAAGTCGTGAACGCACCCCCTCTTCAAAAGAAGTGGAGAAAAGAAAAATGGGGTAGTGTGTATTCGTTCTGGAGGTGGTTGGTTGTGTGCGGTTGACGGGAGATGCTTTGAACTCTATCCTATGAGTATTCCCTAAGTGTGAGCAGTGCGATGCCGCAATGATACATGAATTGCAATTACAGCAGGGTGGCGATCTGCTGGAGATATCTGACATCATTGAAAATCACTCGGCCATAATCCTCGAAAAATGTTTTATGGCTGCGAGGCCGATGAGCAGAGAGGGACTATATCAAATCGACATAATTGGTACCGAAATTCTGCGAAACACCTCACAAAGTTGGGTTTCTTTGACGGTGATTGCGCTGGCTATGGGGAAAGGGGGGTATTGAGGGACTCGGGATCTACGTGGAGAGGGTCTTGCTCCAGGTGTCCTAGTTGAATCAGTGCGGTAAGACGTGAGAATAGCTTGAAGCTTTGGATTTGTCACTTCCGTCCTTGCAGGAGGTAAAGTGCAGTGCTCTACCGTATGTGCATAGCGAACTTCTACATCCTACTTGTGGGTTATCGGCGGTCTCTTAATTCCACAAGCCTTCTGTTCAATATCCCTCGTTGAAGGCTGACCTGTGACTTACATGTGATGGAGGCGGATGAAGAGCACGAAGGAATAAAGCAACACAAGTGCGATGAGGCGCACGATAGTGACGAAGGATAATGAAAGAATAGGTAACCGGTGAAGAATGATGGTGAAAACTAGTGATGAAACTGCGCCTCTAGCTAAGGACGGAATGGGAGATATATATCTCCAAAGCAACAAGAACTCTGGAACTCCAAGGAAACCATAAACACAAAAGAACCACTAATCCTAAGGAAATCATGATCCTCCGCACTCCACAACAACCCACAACTCTCATAAACCTCTGACACAGAACCAGATGCCTAGAAGCATAAGGCATGAAAGAAACCAAACCCCATTTCTAATGCCCTATGGCAAGGGGAAACATCATCAAGAAACCCAACACCTAAGCCCTAGATGCATGAAGCATCTATCCATATAACAGCCAACTATCATGACTTAGGCACTCCAACAACATGTACTCCCCCTGATTTGAGCCGGAACGAAACCACAAATTTCCCTCGCATAAGATAAATGGCCGGTAAAAGAGGGCTCGGCCCAGGTCATTTGCCTGGGTTTTTTTCTGGAAACTTTTGCGTGATATGATGCCTTATAGGTAGAGAACACGGCAGCTATGAGTAATGGAGAATACAATAGTGAGGACATCCGGTCATCAAGCACCGGGATAGAACACAGCCAGAGTGGCTACGGGTGAAGGGGGGTCGCTCTTCGATACTAGATGTACCGGTGGGTGACTTTCGTATCCATCACATGACGAATCTGGCACATAGGAGTGCGTCGGGGCGACTTTAATCGTCTGTAGTCGTTAGAGGGGGGGGGGGGGGGTGGCAGGTAGAATGGAAGCTTCTTCTTTTCTTTTTTTTCTCAAGGTGGGAGCGCCTGGGATCCCCTTGGGATCCCCAGCGAAAAGAAATGGCGATATCAGAAGTAGCCGCAGAAGGCTTCTCTGCCGGGCTCAAAGTGTGTTGGGACTTGATACGGTGTAGGGTAACTCAAGCGCTGTAATGGGCATCTGAAATTATTGAGAAAACCGTGTCTCATTTCAGTCGGGCGTAAGAAAGATCTTAGTACTACCGGTAGCAAAGGCGGAATCTGGAGGCGTTATGCGATACCTCGGACGTCACAACATCCGGCGCTTTTCTTACACTAGAAAATACTCCCAATATAGAAAGTATGCGTAAATTCTAATAGTATTCTAAAAGACATCATAATGGAATAAACGGAGTAAATTTTGTGATGGTGCTGGAGGTGTGTGTGAAAGAGTATTTTCTGGTTCTGGTACTGAGTTTGAGCAGTACCGACAATATTACGCATTTCTCAGCTGTGAATGGTTTCAGCCTCCATAGGGCACCCTCTATTGTTATGCAGATTTTTCCCGGGGAGCTGGATTCTCGAACTATCGACAATAATGGGCATGGATTACCTTTAGCTCTGAGATCCTCATAATCAAGGTGGAGTTCCCTGAGAAACTGTTACGGAACGAGAAGGGTGAGTTGTCTACGTTACATAGAGTATGGATAGCATGTTTGGTGGCAAAGGAAAATATGATATTCTGTCTGGCCGGGATTTTTCGGATGTGATAGTCCCCGCATTTACTGACTAGTTCTACCATCGGGGACCGGGGATTGGCTAATGAGCACGGGGGGGTAAGCGTGATCGAGCCAAGGTATCGAGTGACGAGTAGTGAGAAGGAGGTTTCTAAAACGACACGGGAAGTATCAGATTGAAAGCAGACTGGTATTTTGCGGAGCGTAATTGGGGTAAAAAGTCAGAGTGCGGACCTAAAAATTATCGGCCATGAGTCACGAAAATATGCGGAAGTTGTAAACTGAAGCTTGTTGCCTAATAGCCGAGCCCATGATCCCCCGATGCCCGATGGTGGATTTAGTTAGTGAATACGGTATGCATATTAAGGATAGGAGCTCTAATGTAGCTCAGTCGTGCTCTCTTTATTTGCCATGGGCGCTATGTTGAATAATCAGGGTTTGTGTTGTCCGTGAGCCCCGCTCTACAAGCTACCCTATGATACCATATGCATGGGATATCCTAAATTTCTATTTGCTATAGAGGGTGGCAAGCTGCCTGTCGAGAAAAATTGGTATTTTGATAGGTGGCAATTATTGTCCATTAATCCCAAGGGGCTCAAGCAGGTTCTTGGGAAGATCAATGTAGTGTTAAGCACGGTTCTGTGGAGGGTGGAAACAGCCACTACTGAGAAAGGGGATAAATACTATCAATATTTGGGTTTAGTACTGAAAAGAAAAATACTCTTGCACCTCCTCTCCTTATCATCTATCATAATATTATGGCATTTTATTTTCTTATTCTATGATGAGGGTATGGGTTATAGGGTGTTAAGGCTAGGCTGATTCTGAACCACTTTCTGAATGGAGCTGAGGAAATAGTTAGCTATTGAACTAGTATAAAGATCTGAGAGGTTTGAAATTGCTAGAGTATAAGCTAGAATAGACAATAAGAGAAAAAAGGTGAACTATCTCCTGACATTGATAAAATGAATCAGTCCCTTTACCGCCAAATCTAACAGGGACGCCCAAGGGACCATGCTTTCCCTATCTCTAACGGAAGCCTGCAGTTCTCTGAATCGCTGTTCATATTCGTCGCGCTCTTTCTGCTGCGCTCCTTCCATGTGCTTGACCCGCCTATGCCATTCTTCCTCCTGGTCCCTAATCTCCTTCCTCCTCTCCCTTCTCAAATTCTCCCTGTCACCCTCCACCAAGGCCAATTTTTCTTCAATCCTCTTCCTCTCCTCGGAGAGAACCTCTTTGAGCTCCTCATCCTTATCCTTCAACGCCTGCACCCACTCCGCCTTCACAGCATTCAGGGCCAGCTCATGGTTCTTCTGCAACCGCGCAAGCTCCGCGTTCACCGCTTCCCCGGCCGCAGTCTCATGTAGCTCCTTGCCCTCGTTCACAAGTTCGTGCTGAATCCCCAGCGTCACGCGTCCCATCTTGACGAGCACGTCGATAAGGTCCAGAGCAGACTCCCTCTCGCCGAGGTACTTGGCAACTTTAGCGCCGCGACTCAGCATCCCCTTCCAAAACTCCGGGTTTTCCTTCAACTCCTTAACGCGCCTGTTACCGAGCTCCTCGGGGACGTTTTTCCAGTGCGTCGTCGCCAGGAATACGTGGTTGAGCGCGTCCTCCCCGCAAAGTTTCCGGAACATGCGTAGGTTCCTGAGCGCCGAGCCCTCCATTTTAACGGCGGATATGGGGTGCAGGTAGATTATTCCGGAGAGTTTGAAGTTCTCGCGATAGGTAAATTCCATCCATCTCGCTATGTCGAGGAGGACATCCGTGTCTGTACGGTAGGTGTCGTTGAATCCGGGGGTGTCGACTAGAGTGATGTTTACACCGTCGTGTCGGAACCTATAGGATGTTATTTTGTCGGTGCCTTTTTTTTTCTCCTTCTTAGTATATGCTTGTCTCTGGTATCGGATATATTAGAATGTGGTAGAGTGGGGGAGTACAGGATTCTAAACCGTCCCCGATTGCAATTTCGTTAAGTCCTGTAACTTGCCGGATGAGGTGGCTTTTCCCTGCGCCCGTGACGCCCATCACCGCTATCACTATTTCATCCTCCATGAGGTCCTTGTAATCGATATCTTCGACCTCCCATGCGGAGGGAGGTGTATCTGCGGCTGGGTATTCCATGTGGAGGAGAGGTTCTTGACTGCTCTTTTTTTTTCCGACCGTGAGGAGCGCTATGGAATAAAGTGCTTTATCATACAGTGTTTCTATCCGGGTGCTGCTCATGCTTTTCCCCGCTTTATGAGGCCTAACACATCGAATTAGTTGCGGCTGACTTCGGAACAAGGCAGCCGGTACGGGACGGCAGCCTACATGAACCACATCGGACGTGAGGGGGTATCGGTCAATCGATTTGGTGACCGTGCATGCACTGCCAGCGACTAACGGCCCGCCACGTCGGTGATTAAGCCCTAGGGGTTTGTCTAGACTTCGGATTGGCGCCCGCCCAGGCCGCAGGTGGAACCATTTCCCACCGATAGCGGGGGCCGCCTGTCGCGCTACAATGGGTTTACGGGCTCTTGGACCGGACGAATATTCCGAATATTTGGGAAATTGAACGATTGGATGTGAATTTTGCTCGGAGCACTCCCGATATCATTTTCAAGCAGCTGACGGTAATGGATGGGTGTCACAGCATATGAGGCCGTAGATGAGGCTGGGATTGGTTGGGTTGGGGCTCTAGGAGGCAGTACAGTTGTGCTCGGGTATGTGGTCGTGTTTATCAGGTGTACCGTACAGTACAATTACGGTACGAGGGTGGAGTAAGTATAAGTACTGGAGTAAAAAGGAATGGCAGGGGCGGTGTAATTATTGGCGGGAGATAGGTTATTGTCTACAAGCACTATGCTGGCCGTTAGGGGATTCTGGCTGGGATCAAAATTTTGGGGAGCGGGTAACTTTCGGGGTTCATGAAAGGGTGGATTATAAGTTAAATTGGGAGATCCCGGATTGCCCGTGAGATACCGGCATTTTATAGTGGACGGTGGATAGTCATTGGTGGTGAGTGAGTAATCGTGTTTCTTAATATACAATTTGCGTTTTAAAATAAGGAGAAGATTGGGAACCACTTTGTCACGACATTGAACTACGAAAACTAGGATAGGGTGTTGGGCAGACTGGTGATAAACCTTAGATGAAATCCTTATGAAAAAAACAAAAACAAGCCAATCCTTAAACCCACATAAAGTCAGCAAGGCGTGCGTTCGTGAAAGCTTGCTTGTCCTCGGATTCTTCGTCCTCGTCGCGCTCTTGCTCGCTCGCCGTGTTAGACATTACTGCTGCCTGTTGCTGTTTACCCCCAGGCAATTCCCCAAGGGCCCCCGAAACGAACGTCATCGGTGTCCTTGTAGGTGCCGTTGGCGGTCTCGGTGGTGGCGGTGGGAGCAGTCTAGCTGGATCATGTATTTCCACGATTGCAGGCGTCCATACGTCCCAATCGTCTAGGTTCTCCGCGTTGTCGTTGCCGTGTTTGAGGAACCCCGGGGAAAGAATCAAGTCCACCCGTAAATTGTCTTGAGAGTCGTAGTCTTCGCCACCATATCTATTCTCCATCCGGTCGTCGTCGGGAGTGAAAAGCCGATCTCTCTTGCTGAACCAGGACTTGGAGAGCACCCGTAGCTCTGAAGCCTGCTTGCCCATCTTCTCACCGAGCGTTTTGGCGTCTTTGATTATCGAGAAGAGCCTTTCCGTCTGCACCTGCGTTTCTTGGTCGGATAAATTGGGGTAATAGGCGGTGATGATTGGTCTGAGGACTTTCTCGATATGCCGCAAGATTTCCGTCGCATTATTGTTTTTGTATGCTTGGAGCGAAGGGGAATACTCCCCACTCAACGGCCATCTCTTGCATGAGTAATAGGCCTGGAGACTGCTCGCTCGCCAGCGCTGCGCCTCTGCCCTATCACCTACGCTCATCAGCATAGCCCACAGGGCTAGGAGAGGAAGACGTACTACGATTCTTGATCTTGTACAAATTTTGAAACAGTTCTTGAAAATCTTGTGGCGTTCCGTAAAAGGGAGAAGCAAGAATTTTTTCGCAGATCATGTTTCCAAGCACTGCCTGGACTAGGTGTGAAGCTTTGAAGTGCACCTTATTGCCCCAGTCACTGCTACTCCAGGACACCTCTTCCAATTCCCTTTCAAACTCCGGGAATCCCCTTACATCAAAATCAGCCATCTTGATCTTAAAATAGTCCCTCGCCCAGTCCGCGCACTGCCGAAATATCTCCCGGAATTGCGAGCTAATGGCTTCGTGTGACTCGCGTGGAACACCCTTTGATTTCTGGTACTCTTGGGCCTGAATATTTTTGAGTTCTTCCGTTTGCGAGTCCAGCCTTCCGTTAAGCTCCCTAGCTATGTTTTCCAGCGTCTTGACCTTGATCCTGAGCCCCTCGTTATCGTGTTGCAGGCGTTCGTTAGCTTCACTTAGGTTTTCTCTCTCCTTTTCTAGCCCAGCTAGCGCGGCGTCTAGGGCCGTATTGCGTTGAATAGGCCATCTATATCTTGCTTCGTCGGCCGGCTTAGTGTTTTGTTGCAGCTGCGCATTGTCTCTGCCAAATCCCTGCCGAGTGGTTAGAGCTTTTGCTGGAAGACGGGGGATAGTATTTCCTCACAGGAATAAAACTCGCCATGACCCCTCTCGGCTTATCGGGGGCCGGGACCAGGCGCCGGTCCATGGTGTTTTCGGTATTCTGGTCTAGAGAGAACGATTCCTTTCTGTCTCTGAGAGCAAGCGGCGAGCGTCGTGCCTCAATACTGTGCAGTTATAGTACAAGGCTCTTTCCAAACGCAACGTGGTTGGTTTTGTGGTTATTGTGCAATTGATACCGTAGAAATTTGGCCACTTGGGTATAATAGGGATTGCAGAGGGCGGTAGATTACTGAGGGTCGTCCGGCCAATAGAGCCTGGGGTAGCGATTTCCCCGCACCGGAAAAAGCAAAATGGGCAATGAGTACCGCTCCAGCACTTATTGGATAACTCGTACCGGTAGCGCCAGGAGGAAGTGTATTCTGCCACCTTGAGATTATTTCAGGGCTTGGGGGTTTTCAAGGACGGCTCTAGCGTCATACAGCTCTGTAGTTGACACGTTTCGTTGCATGAGGGTTGGATGAGGGGTGAACCAGTTTGAGATTCGCCTTCTCAAGGCAACAGCGGGGATAATCTAAAAATGAGACATTCGAACGTGTGATTTATTTTGTTTCCCATCTGAATTGTCGTGGGATGCGAGCCGGCATGGATGATCGGCCCAGAGCACCGTGTCTTGGCACATGAAACTGAGGTCAATCTATTCATCACCACGGATTATCACTAATTCGCATCAACAGTAACAGTAGCAAGGAGAATTACATCAATAGCAACAACAACAACAACAACAACAACAACAGGGGTTTCTAACTCTGCACTATTAATATATCCTATCCTACAACTCCAAAATGTCAAATGAACGCCACAGGCTGGTAGTAGGCGGTATCTTCCCCTGAGCCTTTAATCTACGATATTTTTCTAATCCATGGGTCAAAGTGGACTTTGGCACGACATATTCTGGTAACCGGCGTCTGACCTTCAACAGCCGGACACTATGGCTAATCGGTACCTTCAGGGCTAGCATATATTCACACCACTAACCCTGACTATAAAAACATAGAAGTAATCGACAGCTGGCCAGGTCGGGGAAACGCCAACCTTGCCAAAGTCCCCACCGAAATCAGCTATTCGGACAACGGCGCATCTTGGGGCTATGATATTCCCTCGAGCGGACTCCGCTATGGTTTCTTTAAGCTTCTCCTGGATACGAACGCAGCGACACAGTACGACAACCCCCGACTGGCCGCATCAACCCCCCCGTCCATGGAACACTCGTACGCAAACACCCCGTTGCCCGTGGGAAAGACTGCGGCAGAAATCACGACGGATTACCTCAAACTACTGTATTCACACCTTATGAAGACACTGCGCGAAAGGCTCATCCGCACGTTGGATAATACGCCAATTCAATTCGTTTTGACAACGCCGGCGATATGGAGTCACGAGGCGCAGAACGCGACATGTCAAGCGGCCCTGGAGGCTGGATTTACATCGAGGACAGGGGACACATTGACAATGGTCTCGGAGCCGGAAGCTGCGGCATCGTATTGTCTGAAAGAGATCTACCATGAGCGCTCTGACACTGACAACCCCCTTGAGGTATGCTTTCTTCCGCCAAGGCGTTATTGGGTTAGGGTTAACGAAATCCAGCCAGGCGAGCGAGTGGTAATTTGCGATGCCGGGGGCGGGACAGTGGTAAGTCACCTTGCATCGCACGAGCTTCCAGGGTTGCTAAGTGTCCAGGACTTGATAACCTACACGGTCGAGAAAGTAAGTCCTAGGTTAAGCCTGCACGAAGCCGTCGTAGGTTCTGGTGGGAAATGCGGATCGGTTGCGGTAGACAAAGAGTTCCTAAGCCTTTTAGAATCCCGCATTGGGCCCAGCTTCAGGGAATGGCCCGCTCGAAAGACTGCCCCACAGGGTCCCCTAATGCGTGAGTTTGACAGGGCAAAGAGAGAGTTTGGAACCACAACTCGTACGCTCTTCTGGCGGATCCCCGTTGGATACGTGAGAGATGATCCCGAGAATGGGATTGAGGATGCGGAGCTGAGATTAACGGTGTGAGTACCTCGGCCTAGCCGGTGCCGGCATTAATGAGGGCCAGTGAGACTGAAGTGCTGAGCAGGGCTGATATGAAGGGGTTGTTCTACCCAATCGTCAAGCAAGTGATTTCCCTGTTAGAGCAGCAGGTTCGGGATTCCAACAGATCGGACTCTTCAAATAAAGTTTCTGTATACTACCCCTTTCCGGTTATTTTATGCCCCAAGCTGATCGGTAGACAATCTTCCTGGTTGGCGGCTTCGGTGAATCTGCATATCTCTTCACAGAAGTGCAGGCTTGGGTTAAACGGCAGTCCTACAAAATCCGGGTCATCAATCCCAATTTTTCGTAAGCTCGCCGAAATCTCATAAACCAGTTCCTGAAATGGCATACTAAAGGCCTACAGCTGGTCCGCCGTGGTCCGAGGAGCAGTTCTTCATGGCGTTGAAGGTATGGTCCATACGCGGAAGCTAAAGCAACATTACGGCGTAAAAGTAGCAACAAAATTTGAACCGGGCCTACACGATGAAGAAGATTCCTTTATAGATCCTTATTACGAGATAAAATACAGTCGGGATAATATTGAGTGGCTAGCGGCAAAGGTATGCGCTCTCCCCTGCCGCTTCATAAAGCTGTAAGGTTGAAAAGAAGAGCAGGGCGACGACGCTAGCAGCGAACGAGTGATTTCGATACCCTGTGGGGCATCCTTCCGTCCAGAGGATAGGAGAGCAATCACGCTCTCCCTAGTGGGGTGCAAATTCGATAATCCGCCCCAGAGTGCCAAGCACTGGAGTAGGTTATTCTGTCCCTGACGAATCGGAAGAAGGCTAACGACAAAATAGTGGTGGATGCATTGGGGACGGTCATTTGTGATGTGTCTGTGATGCCACCGTCGGCTTTCCAGGTCAAGCGATCGGGGTTCTTCTTTTTTCAGGACTCAATTTCGAGGGCCAGTTTCGCTGTCGATATGAAGGTTGGGTCAGCCGACCTAGAATTGGACTTGATGCATGCCGGAAAGTCATATGGGAAAGCAATGATTGAATATTAAAACCCTTGTGGAGAAGTATAGTATTGATTATGAGACCAATACAGGATGTTTTTTAGGCATGTGCATCGGGCTGCATGGAGGGTCTCTGTATACCGAGTGATAATTAGTGTATGATATGATACGTGGCGTCACTGGCGTGCTCCTGAGGTACAATTTATTGGGCCCTAAACCAAGTCAAGGTGCTGGGCAAAAGGGCAAAAGTAGAAAACGGCTTGGCTCCCGCAAAAAGCATATCATGATATCATACCTGCATAATATTTCATTAAAGTCCTTCAATTTCGTTTAAACCTGGGATCCTTATGGCGAGCTAAGGATGGGCTAAGAATCACTGGCTTTCCCTCTTGGTGAACAAATTTTGCCTTTAGCTTGATATTATCTAGTATGATATCATGCTAGTTATCATAAAATTATCATGGGTGAAAAATTCATAGTGATACCCTCTGCCCCAGCCCCAACCTCATCCACGTAAGTCCGCCATAGTCATCGGTATTGCTACCAACCTCACTACCATCACTAACAGCAACCTCTTCACCGACACCCTCCACATGCGCACCCACCCACTATCAGCCCCGACACCACCTTAATAACTACAATGTCCCTAGTAAGCCAGCATTTTAACGAAGTCGTTGACGGTGTTGCAGCGACCCACCGCGCAGCCCGCGGTTCGCTCACCACCGAGTACGACAGGGGCGTGCTAGAGGGGCGCAACTTTTTCCTCATTCAATTGAGCGACAGGGTGGACGAGTTGGAGGGGGATGGGGATTTGTCCATTGTGAGGAGATGGATTATGAAGCTGAGAAGAGAGGGAGCCGAGAATAAACTAGGCGATGAGGTCAAGGAGGATCAAGGTCTGTTCTCGCCGGGTATCATTTTTTTTTTTGCGGTGGGGGCTTGTCGCGCTGACGGAGCTTTGGCTTTTTGTCGTAAAAGAGGTGAAGGCTAAGGAAGTTAAACCGGAGCGAAAAAAAAGAAAAAAAAGGGTTGCGAAGGCGGAAACTCGCGGAGAGGGCCGGAGGGATGCAAGCGTACTGGAGGAACCGACACGTTACCCCAATCCTCGAAAGCGATATTGGGAAAACTATGAAGATGAGGAGGAATCGGAGCGTTGCAGGAAGAGGATTCGTTAATTTTACGGCCCTTTAGTACCTACGTATAGACCCCCTCCCACCGATCCCGTTTCTAGAGCTCTGAGACGTCTGTTGGCTCGGGAGCCGTTTAGGGGGTATGCAATACCGTGGATATAGGCTCTTGTTGTGGGGTTCCCATATTCGGAATTGGTAGAAATTATTGTCAAAGCTTAGTATCAGAGATCTTGAAAGCTATCCGGGAGACTTTACTATGGTGGGCACTACTGTGGGGACCCGTTTTTTGAGCCGAACCACCTGGACATGGGTTATGGGAGCAGATGACTGGTTCGAATGTGTGATGGGTGCGAAATTGAGATTCGTATCACAAGTACCAGCACCGGAAAAGCAAATTGCAGTCTTGCAGTGTCAGCCTTAGTGTGGATATGGAAAAGGCTTCTATGGAGCGCTCATGTCAATTGCTTGTCATCTGTTATCACTCGGTTTCAACGGCCGCGACTGAAAATTGGGTTGAGTACGTTTCGGTGTAATTTAGACGCTAGGATGATGAAAGAAAATACACGCATGAAGCCGGACCCTGGTGATAGGAAACAGAGCAGCCAAATGGTGCGGAAGAGGTTAGGATCCTTGATAGATTGGGTGGAAAAGGCAGACACAGGAGAAAAAAAACAAAAAAACAACGAGACAACCAGCGATTTATCATTCCCGGATTCAGTGACCACGAATCCCATCGACCAGATACGTAAACACAAGTGGATCCCTCGGCGTCCTATAAACCGGCCGAAGCGCATCCTTCTCTCACACTGGCTCTCACCCTCACCCTCACCCTTATCTATCCTTATCTACTTGCCGCGCATCTTGACCGGATATCATATCATACATCATGTTATCCACCAACTTCAACGCACTCTGCATCTTCCTAATACCCTTCGCCCTACTCCAGACAACCCAATCACATTTCCCCGGGAACGACAGAATCCGAATTGCTGGCGCCCGGGAGCGGCACTTCCAAATCGCCCCCGGTATCGGCAATGTCCAATTAAAACCAGGGGGACTCCCGGAGGTTATCACTTGGCTGGACAGTATCCCAATGGCGTCCCTAGCGGTGACCAAGGAAGCGGGTAGTAAGTTTATCGCCGAAACGCTCGTGCACGGAGGGGGTAGTGGTTGTAGGGTTTGGTGCCTCCGCTCACTTGTTAATAGTCGCCGGGGGAAATACTCCGCCGGAATCAGTGCGAGACGGTATAGATGTTGGAATTTGGGAGTGGGTATTTGGAGGCAATGATCTACGGTGCCGCTGGTTGGGTAGCTTGAACTGACACTGCTAGGCTGTCGGGATATAAGGGAGAACTGTGACATGGTGCATAGGTGTTGCGCGGGGTATTCGTGCATCGGACAGAAGTTACCCTTCTGGGCTGACCCGATGAGACATGGCCATTGTGAAACAGTTTTGTAGAAGCAAGATCTGAGGTCGTGCTAGATTTTAGATCTGATTGGTATGATTGCTTGATAGCGCAAGTTCTAGTTTTATACTCTAGCTTGCCTCGATTACTATGGAGGTAATGATTGGATGGTTAGTTTTTTGTCCATGAGGTTGGTTGAATAATGGAATGGTAGTAGCTGGGTGTGATGGTAGGGGATTAATGGCACCATAACCCTATTTTTGTAGATGACTGACAGGTCTCAAGGAAAGAGGAATAAAGGATGAATAATTAGATGGCCTATAGGGGCAGGTAAAGACAAAAAATGGAGATGCGGCGAATCGAACGCCGGACCACCTCTATGCTAAAGAGGTATTATACCACTAAACCACATCCCCATTGACGGCTTAAGCAAGTTTGTTTCCACTGATCAAGTAGTCGACGGAAACAAGCTCACCACTCCAACGAAGGACCATGCTTCGCACTAGAATCCTCCCAACCTGCCACCTTTTTAATTCCCCTATGACGAAGATGAGACCCGGCCCATTCCGGTGAATAATCAACTTTTATACTCGAGCACTGAACGCGAGACTGCTTTGGGCTATAGTCGGCCTGATACTCCGTAGGTGTCAGGGATGCACGAACCCGAACGAGCCTGCGTTTGCACCGTTTCATCCTTGGCAGTTCCTGCTTTTGCCAAGGCGGCGTTGGGAAGGTATCGGCTTTAAGAATTTTATTGGGCCTCTTCCATATGATGGGTTTCTGTATTGGCCAAGTTAGTTTTTTGGTTGGGTAAGGGCAAGGATGTTCTCCCTCTCCCACCTTCCCTCGATCCTTGGGAGGTTCAACCGTCGCTTGGACAGTTATTTGTGGGTTATTTATGGCTGGAGACTGTCTTAGGCGATATTTGAGAGATGTTCTTGCTCTCCTGGGTATACCCACCGGTGGTGCAGTTATTATTCAAGTACACTAGCGTGGAAATTTGCTCTCCCAGGGCGGCCATGACGGTTGGGTGATTACAGGTGTGTTAATACAGTACAGTAGCTATCGCTTATAAATACCGTACGATATTCCCAGAAACCAGCGTCTCTAGTGGTGTTGAGCTTCCAGAAGTGAGTGCGACTTCCACTTTTACGATCAGTGTGTGGTGGAGACGGCTGTTTTTGCATGGGTGAAGATTCGGGAGAGGCTTTGATATTGGCGAGTAAGTTACCGGTGTGGCTGTTTGGCTCATCCTCTTGAAAGAGGCTACGGTAAGGCTACCGTATTTCGGTACTCGAGTATGATAAATCCGGAAGATTGACGGTGGGCTTGGCGAAGCATGATAATCGATAGGATATAGAAAACGCAAAGCAGCGCATATACTACAGCACGAGCATTAGTAAGTCATTTTATCTATCCATCCACTCCGTTACCAAATGGACCCTGTCACAGGGGAGCCCTCCCGAAGCTCTACCACTCCGTGTGTAACTCATAGCCTCCCATCCCATCGCTACAATTAGCATCCGTTTCAGCTCATTAATTATGTACGATTACGAGTACGGTAGTACGGCAGCCGATCTCGGGAACACCGTAATCTGGGTTCGGTTCGACCTCAGAAGTCTTAACAGACATACGGTACGGGAGGAGCCTGAGGAGAAAAAAAAAGGAAAAAAGCAATTATGAGGAGAGAATGACGTGAGGTCCAAACAAAGCTATGATACCGCATAATTTGGGTACGGTAAACCCGGAATGTGTACTAGGCGCTGGGTTCTTGTGGGGAAGTGAGTCGGGCAGGCCTGATGATAGGGGGTGGCAAGACTTTAGCGAATATCAGAAAGAAGCCGAGTCCATGATAAATTTATCGTATTGTAAAGTGCTTGTACTTATGATGGTCCTCGTTTTGGTGTTTGTGCCCTCTAGCGGAATCTTTTTTTCTCCAACCTATGGGTAAGCCAACTAAGGACAAAAGCCAAGGACGCACTCGAGATTGGGAGAAGGAGTTTCTCAGCCTCAGCCTCAGCCATCGATCGATCTTTGACACCACACTATCAGCCTCGCTTTCTTTCTTCTCCATTATTGTCCTGGTGTTGTTGGGACTGATCTCGTGTTTCCCCAAATTGTGAGGTCTGGCATCGTATCGTGCAAGTGAAACTGCACTCGCACTATGATTTGGGATGCTTGCCGGTTGGATACGAGGCTCAGGGTAGTAACTGGGAAAAGGTTTGCGGGTGAGTGGAAGCTAACTCAGCTGTTGATGCAGGTGCAGTATTGCATGAGCTCTATATATGCGAAGATGATGGGATAGCCGAGAGATATACGGTATCATACTTGTAAGGCACCGTATCATAGACTCGGGTATGGACGCGGGTGACCGGACAGCCAGGGGTTATAGATGTCAAAGCTTCTTTCTTGTTCGAGCAATTCTCATGCCAGACTCGTTCTTTTATTTCCTATGAAGGCAAGAACGGTTAGGCCTCTGGAATCCCTGGCTGTCCGGTCACCCACGTCAATACCCGAGTAATAGCAACCCTGGTGCAAGACTCTCGGTAGAGCACGGTATTCGCGCAGTAGCGGATAGCCTAACCCCGGGTTGGTGGGTTCTGGATGATGCCTGATGTGCCATACCGTCAGGGTTAACGATAGGCGTATCCACAGCCTCCCGGGCTTCTTCCGTGGGTTTCCCTACAGGATGTGTGCTCGGAGGGCGCCGGTTGCGCACTAAAGTTGCGCCGACCACTCCGACTTCGGAAATTACAAGTACAGTACCAACCGATCTTCCATGCCTCATCGGTTTCACACAAACTGCCTGAGCTTTCTCCTCTTTAAAATCCTCAAGAGGCGATAAGGTTTTGCTGTTGTAGGTGCCTTACTACTCTGCCTTACCACTGGTACCGGTTACTGTACCAGTAGAGATTTTGCGAGTAGACACATCCGGACCCCCCTGTACGCCAGGAATTTGGTTTTTTTTTAGACTTGGATGCGCGAGTACTACACTTGTTTGGCATATTCTGCTGTGGGCGATAGGCCGTGAGGTAGAGTGCCGTACCGGTAGGCGGTCTCACCAAGTATATATGGAGAGGTTTCATACCGTCATTACATAAAAATATGACTTGATCCAAAGCACAGTAATCATTTTCTATCTCTGGTCCGGATATCCTGCTCTTATCAATCTCAAACCACGGAAACCACGGCCTTGATACAAGTACAACAAGTACTGCACAGTGCCTGATGTGGGTCTTCCATGCCCCCGGAACAACCACACGTGCACGTCCAGGTTCTCCTCCATTGTGCCCTTGCTCGTGGGGTCCCTATCGCCCGGTGGCATTGGTTGTTATAGGCTTACTAACCAGCCTCAAGCCCGGCCGGTACAATACAGGGCAAGGTGTCCACTAAACGATGGCGCTACAACAGGGGGTAATGACCACCAGTGGGGTCCCAATCGCAGGTAGAGAGGATAGATAATGAGAGTGCATTGAGGGGCTGTTTCGCACGGTGCACTTGTACCGTACTGTACTCGCTCTTTAGGCATTTTATACTGCAAGGCAGCTAGGTTATGATATGTCCCGTTTGTTCCGAATAGAAAGGATTCGAGCAAGTTTTGTGCTACCGGTATGGCAAGGTCTGCTCCGGACCGAAAAAGCGGCTGATCTACTCGTAGATATTCGCTCTTTACGGCCCCGTGCGAAGAGGCTTTCCCTTTTGGGCAAGGTGTCCGCTTTCTCCGCAAATTTTATTTGTGCTGGCTAAGAAGGACTGTTTATTTTTAACTCTACTAAATAGACTTTAATTCCGGGGTATCTTTCTCTCTCCAAGATTTAGAGAGAAATATCCTTTTCTTTCTTTCTTTCATTTTTTTTTTCATCCCAGGGATTCCAAATCCTTTAAGGGCATTTGTTTGTTTTGATTACCGTGGTTTGAAGTGTCCCTCATCGGAAGTAGAGGGAGAAAAAAACAAAAGCATTATGCATCAGTTCCCATCAGAGGTTCAGGTGTTGTTGCAGGTTAGATCTCAGGCTTTCATTTTTATTTTATTCCGCAACTTTAGCCAATAACGACTCCCACACCCCAGCTCAAATAACATTCTTTCAAGCGGTATCATTGGTCGGTTTTCAAGCCACTGTTTCCCAATCGTGCTTTGCGGCTCTCCGGTACTGCCGGCACCGTACTAGTACTCGGGTACCGGTACTGCACGAATACCGGTAGCACTCGAGTACGTACCTGGGCCAAACAGCCCCTGACTTACCAGTGTCGTATTCTCACCGAAGTGGAAGGTGCTCCTGCGGCTTGGCACCGGTTGCCAATGTACAGTTGAAACGGCCGCCAAGAGTTATCTGATAACGCTCCTGTAAGTCCTTTGCATACAGAACTATAATATTTAACAAAACCTACAAGGGAACGGAGATTACCTGTATTATTCCATGATGTTGTCAGACATATAACCTTATTTCTGTCATCTAAATTGCTTTGCGTGTTAAACCATAGACCCAAGAGAAACATCCTCGGACATTATTGGGTGGAGACCTGCTTTGGAGGGCCCGGAAAGTTAGAGATTTGTACTCGAGTATAATACTAGTAGGTAACATATACCGGTCTGATACATGTTAAAGACAATTATTATTTTTTCCTCGGAGTGATTCCCGAATGTTTTAAAGCCCGGACCGTTAAACCTTATCCGGTGTGGGGGGTGGGGTTGGAGGGCCAGGGTTGAAGGATTATTGATAGACCATGTAATAGTGCAACTTGATCCAGGTGAGTCCCCAGGTCATCAGGGTGCAAGAGTAAAGTTTATAACCTGGGATCCGTCATGGCAGTGCCAGTGTGATAGCATGAAATGCGTGTATTTTGGGAGTCGTTCCTTCCAGACCCCAAAGCCTCGGTGCATGGACTATGGGAGAATCCTAAATTCTCTCGTGGGACAAGATGTCGGTACCATGCAAGTGTTTCCCGATCTCCAAAGGTGGAATCATTTATTTGTTGGCTCTGAGGTCACCCTTGAACGGGGTGAGAAATATCGATCGGCCTGTGGATATCGACAGAGGGGGTTTTTATTAGGGGGTGGATGGGGTGTTTGACCCTCGAACCGGAATAGAGCTGCAATCACTTTATGATCTCATAGTCTTTGAAGAATAGCGAAACGGAAATTCGAGCCAAGGGTTTAAACCATCATGATATTTTTATGTATTATAAAATGCACCCATCCCGCAAGCCGTCTTTATCAGAAAAGAGAAAAAGAAAAAGAAAAAAAAGAAATCAACGTAAGGCCACCATCACTTCTACGGTGGTAGTCTTGGAAATTGTGTTTGGCTCCAACCACCTCCCTTCACCTTCCTCCACGAGATTATCATCGCTGGATCCAGTGGCCCTGCCGCGGAGCCCGTGGGTATTCCCGGCATACGCAGTCGCGTATACTACGTTCACGCCGTCCGGGTCGTAGGCGTAGGCTAGGAGGTCAAAATCCTGGGTTGCATGGACGGACATCCCGGGGCCTGAGGGCTCATAGGATGTTCCGAAACTTTTTCTTGGTTGATGGGGGAGGCGACCCCGTGACCTACAGCTTTACGTTAGTTAGATGATACTCAACCCCGCAAGCGGAGTGGATGGGCATGAGTTACTTTGAAATGAGAGCTGTGAGGGCAGGAATGCTTGCGGTTATCATGCCCAGACACTGTTCGATCCGGCCGAGCAATGTGACAGCAACAATGTTCCAAGAAACATCTAGTGAGAGCAGTAGCCTGGGCAAGAGAGCGAGTCGCAGAATAGCAGCGATACATGCTCTGCCATTGTTAGCCATTATCCCCCCCCCTCCCCACTACAGGGTGCAAAGATGGGGAAAAACACACATCACACCCAACCCGAAAACCGTCGCCAACCCAATTTTTTTCCTGGCTGACACCCTCAAATCCCACACCAACTTCATTGGCAGGAGGACAACCAATATGTCTGTCAACACACTGACTGCTCGTACGCCAACATAGATGGCCATAGTCTCATGAAAGGTCGGGCAGTCATCCGCACGGCGGAAGATATTCCACCATGAAGAAACCGGAGCACACATAAAGACAAAGCCAATACACGACCCAAATGTGTGAATGGTCTCGAAAATTATGAAATACCTGACTGCCCGTTGTAGAGAACGGTGTGGGCCGAATAATCTTCGATAGAATAGTAGGAGAGATATTTTTATAGGGTACAGGCCGAGTGTGTGAATGATAGGCAGGGCATAGGTTATCTGGACGGTAAATGAGGTTAGCTCTCTACTGATTAAGTGGGTATCACAGACTTCTAACCTTTAGGAGTCTTAATACCTCATCGAATTCTAACTCAAGGATATGTTTTCCAATGCCGGCTTGCTTGACGCCTATTCTCCACTTAGCTCCAAATTCCCTGACCATTTTCCATACAACTCACCGTAACACAACATCACCGCCGAACACATCAAGACAATCTACCTCCCCGGACTATCAGCTCCAGGCCCGTGAACTTCACCCCACCTCTCCCAGAAGATCTCACCATCGCTCCAACGATAGCATAATCGTCACCGCCCAACCCACCAACCACAAACGCACGAACATAAATCCTCGCGGAGACAATAACAATCGCAAATATCGTCAACACCAGATTTGATATGAACAGTGAGTTCTCTCTTTGTCCCCCCGCAGCTTTGGAATCTGTGTGCCCCTCTGGCGTCCATCCTTTCTCGTACCCCGGCAGGTGGTTCACTTCCGCCATATGTGTAACCGCATCTCGAACAATGCCGAGCTTGAGGTAGTCGGGAATTCCATCATTGCCCGTCATTTTCTGGGTTTGTCGCTTTCTTGTCGGATCTCATCCTCGCCGTTGGGGGGAAAGGATATGAACGGTATTAAGAAGGAAATGAATTTGGGGAAGTTGGAGAGTACAAGTAGGAGAAAATGTGAGAGATAAAAAAGAGAATAGAAAAAGAAAAGATCAATGTGCCAGCATTGCTGGGGAGGGCCCATGCGGGTTGTTTCTGGTTTAGTTATGCTGGAAAGTTTAATCCGGGGTGTTACGGAGGTTCACGGTCCGTGGTACAGTACTGTATGCAAGTCAGTAAGTGTGCGGAATTGGTTTTGTTTCGTGAGTTGGGGTGGTGGGGTCGTATATGCTGTGCTCCCGCCGCTTCACCTTCACATAAGCTTGCAAGCGCCAAAACACCAGAGCCGTCCACAACCCGTCATGCCTCCCATGTGATGTTTTTCCGATCGGAAACAGGGACCACGGGTCGGAAAGACTGGGTAGAGGCAATGCTTGCACCGATTTTGCTTGCACAGTGCTTTTACAGCCTGGCGTAGAAGAAAACGGAAAACGGAGATCAGAAACAAGGCTGCCCACCTGGCCTGAGCCACGGAACGCTCCAGATCAGAACCCCGGAACCCCCCCTGAATTCATATCCACATTTTCCGATTTCTTTTACCGCAGGCTATACATGCTGATGGGGGAAACCGGGTGTCGTCTAGCGTGGTGTTCAGACAAGGTAACTATTCTATTGTATTATATTGGCATGGGGTACTGTACTGGGGCAATCCTCAAGGTTGTTAGGGTACTGTACACTACAGGTATGGGTGGGCTTCCCGCAAGCGAGGCTTGGCTGTCGAGTGTTTCCCTTTACCGGTATGATAAATTGTCGTAAAGTAAATTTTGTAGCAACGATCGTATCATACTGTACATCAAGCTCCCTTCCGCTCTATCTCACATGCACTTGTCCTATCTACCATGAACACAACGGGGCAGAAAAAGATCCGGAAGTGCTCGCAGCGGTGTGTTGCTTTGGAGCGTTTTATTTTATGCTACGAGTACTGCACTATACCGCCTTGTCAACTCCTCTGGGGGACATATGCAGTGTATGCTTATTCTAGTTTCTTAGCAGTGGCGAAGAAGTAATCCTCCCTTTCCTTGCAGAACGCCACACAGATTAGGATCCCTGTCGGGTGTTACTATTCTTGTCTCCCAGATGGGCTGGGGCACAGTGGCAGAGAAATCTTCTGGAATTCCCAAAGTTGATACCATACTTGGGCCACTTGCTGATCTTTTTTTTCCTTTTTTTTCCTTGAGGTGTCTTATTCTTCCTGGATCGGACTGTCAGCACTCTTTTTCCCCAGCAAGGGTAGACGCCCATGCATAATCAAGGTTCTCGCTTACCGTACTTCCTATTTGATTCCTTGTTGTCTGGATATCAGTACTACCACATTCTCCTCTTATGCCATCTGCTTGTGCCGTATCCATGAGCACTCAAGGGTGCGCCTCATATCAAGAAAGAGTTAGGATACCTAATCTGGGAATCCAGGTAATCATGATACAGATCATCAGTGATACTGAGTAAGGCTCGCTCATTCATGACGACCTTGTACTGATTTGGTTACACGGGCAGGAAGTGCTGTACCCCGTTACCGAAGTGTTTCTACCACCAGTCTAGTAATCAGTATGGTTCTCACATCCCGATCGGGTTCCACTAAAAGCCTATGGTGTCTCGCATCATTTCTCGAAACACAGCCTCCCGAAAATTTCTCTCTGCATATTTCTCTGGCCTATTGAGGGCTCCTCATAATAACTAATCCGCGCTAGGAAGATTAGTTAGAAAGGCGTAACCAGTGACACTATGACTCCGGGCCGGGTTCCGCTTCGGATATCGGTTGAATAGCCCTACGGGAGACAAATTAGTAGCAGTAGAGCGCGGGTAAGCACCCTACTGGAAAGGGATACCGTAGGTGGCGGACCCTTGGGGGGATCGATAAATAGCGCAGCGGTTTAGTGAGCGGGACAGTATGGGACCTGGCCGTTATGGTTGCGGAGGAGCCGAGGGGAATGTATGGCCGTAAACTTTGCTCTGAACTAATTGTAAAGTCAGGAGTATATATGAAACTGGATGAAATTATCCTGATCTTTCCGTGGGCTGCTACATATATCCGCTTTCCTCTATGCATGTCCCCATTCCCTTTCTTTCTTTCTCCTGTCATGGCAAAGATACTGTGTACCTGCAAGCATTTCTCCGTGGGTCATCGCAACTCTAGAGTAATCGAGAACCTCCACCTAAGTTACAACCGGGTAGCCTCCGGTCCACCACACCACAACTCACCGCCTTCCCCCGTCAAGTCTAACACTAACCAGTACGTGATGGGCGACCAAAGGCCGATAACTAATAGAGCCTTAGAAAGGTGGGGTTATAATACTTCTTTGTCCGGGCGAGAGGAGCGTGGGGTCGAGTTAAAATTGCTTGCTAATTGTCTAAGGGCGCCTAAGCGATATCAGGTACGCTCGAGCAGATACCGGTAGTTTAGGGTTGTTTGTTGTGGGGGTACTGCATAGTATAGAAGCTCTTTGAAAACCAGTGCATGTATCCGAAGACTGTTATCGAATCTAAAACCTCTCGCGCTGTTCCCCCACGGTTAATCGATATCGATAGTTCTCGAGGTGTGATACAAGGAAGGAAGCAGGTGAGAACTTTACAATCCCGGCTGTATCGGCACTTCCCCGTCACAGTATGTAATCCGAGATTTTCGAGCGCGTCGCATGGGATAACTTATGGGGGAGAAAATTGCGAATAAGACTTTAGTTGTGATGGCGGCAGGTGGGTACCCCCTGTTTTCTCTGTTAAGCAGCAGGCTGTTGTTTTACCCGGACTGTCTTTAAACGCCTCTTGGGCTGGTATGATGGCTGTTTTGTCTCAAAATTCCTTGCACACCGCCGCGACTGCGTTATTTGTAAGCCAGGAACTCAACTCCTGCATCACGGGCCAACGCATGCTTGGAAAGGGATGATGGGTTCTTGCTTCAAGGTGTTTTATGAAAAAGGTTACAATCTCCCGTGGTACAGTACGGTACCATAGCTTTACTAACTTGTGTCCGTGAAAAAAACTTGGCCCACATCATTGGTTTCGGGTTTGCCAAGGGGAAGGTACTCGTATCGTGTTATGCAAACAACAACATAGCCCCGGGAGAAAGATATCGGCAACGTATGGTCCAAGATTACGAACTGAAAAATACCACCGTATACCGCACACACCCTACATGTCTGATATGCAGTTCATCCCATGGCTTTCTCTCCAGAGTGACTAATTTAGCGGCTTATTGTGCCGCAATCAACATGCGGCCGTCAGATGGAGTGACAGCGGAGTTTGCCGATTTCGGGAAAAGATGCCACCGGTAATTTTTTATGTTGGTATTGTGGCTAAATGCAGAGGTCTGGTGCTAGGTACGAAACTTGGTGGGCAACGGGGGGGAGCCGGTGGGGGGATTAGGATGGGTGGTCAGTATGATTGCGCTCGGGCTATGGGGGGGCTCCAGGCCATACAGGGACACACTGGAGGGTTGATTTCTACCCGTAGCCATTAGGGCCTCCGCAAGATTCTCCAGAGGGCCTATAAGTTATCTGTCTTTTTTTATGTTAGTCCCGTGTTTTGATTTTAGGTGAATCACTCTGCAGGACTGTAATGACTAGCTTGGTATATTCTAGGCAACCTCTATCCCCCGCTAAAAATTTTAAGGTAGCTACTGTACTATCTCTCTCAAGGCCTGATTCTATGGAAAATGCGCTTTTCTGGGGTAGTAATTGCCATACATATGATAGTGGAGCGTTGGCTTTGCACGGGATCCACGACACTTCTAAGGGCACCGTCGCATGCGGGGATGATGAACGAGTGGATAAGGACCCCAAACAAAAATAAAACAAAAGATCAAAACTAACACTAAGGAATCTAAGATGGGCGAATGCTAATGGTGTGTTTGTGTTCCAAGAATAGAAACTCCATTTCTCTTCCCAATATCAAGCCAATGAAACCAAGATCCAACCTGTACGATTTACGTTCCACTTTACTGGTCGATCATGTATTTTCAAGGTCTTGTGATTTTCCAACGGCAAACCTCGGAGCAGAGCAGCCCTGGTGTGTTTTCGTGGTGTGGGTAGCATATTGTCCGTGGCCTTTTATCCCAAGGCTGATTCCCAAGGGCACTTGTGAAACTCCGAGTTCTGTGCACCAGGTAATGTAGTGATGTTTTTCGCGTTTCTACTGTTGAACACATTCCCACCTCCCTATCTAGGGGTTTCAGGTGATCATTCACTCAATATCCCAGAACCCGAGCATATGAGGATAGTTTGCTCAGAAGTCTTAGGTCCTCTTCCTCAGGAGTCGTGCGGGCACACCCGAGGAGTGCGCGGACAGGTGTGATAGAACGCTTTATCTGTCCTTATCAAGTGCTCAAACCCCGCTCGGCTTACTACAGCCGCATAACCCCACCTAAGCGCCCTGCAACCGTCTTGAGCACTTCGGAGAGTCAGCTACATGTGGAAATAAGGTTATCGGCGGCCCATAGACCACAGGTGTGTTACTGTAACCATTCCTTATCAGGCAAGGATCCCCGATTCCCCAAGGGCGGTTCACATGCCTTGGAGCGCCCACGGTGCTGAGGCATCCTCAACAGGCATCGCAACCTGAAAGCTTACTGGTCTCTCGAATCTCGTTCTTGAATCACACACTATTTAGTTACCAAATTCTTCAACTTCCCCCCTGTGACCGCGCGAGATCGGGTGGCTGGCGGATTTTAGGTTTCTCCCTCGCCCTGGCACTAACATTTGATGAGTTGATGAATTTAACCTTTTGGGAGGGGACGTTCTGCATCGCATTGGACAACCCGATTTAGTGCCCGGATGGGAAAACCTCGGTCTGCAAATATATTCCAGCATGGGGAGGAGGTCAAGAACCGGGCTCTGGCTACCTCGGATCTGCGGGTGAAGAAATTCTCTTACCCGTGCGCCCTTATAACGATACTGATAAGCACCAC